CTAAAACTACGTATATAAGGATTCACATAACAGCTGATAGTATCTTTGGAGAATGTCTGTCAGGCATTATGCATGCAGAGGTTTCTATGGAAGCCAGATGCCCAGTCTTTCCTGAATCCCAAGTGCCATGGAAGATGCAGCCCAACAACCAGATGGAAGGAGCATGTAGCAGCAGCAGCCTGAAGTGTCCAACCATTGACTGCATCATAAACCACACAATCAGTGAGTTGGAGAAGAGGAAAAGCACCACTTTAAAACAAGATTTGCAAAAGGCTACTTTAAGCTGCCTCAGCTATGGGCTGTGCATGAGATAAAGGATGTGTATTTATAAAAACCCTAATTGGGGCATGGTCATGTCAGACTCTCCACGTATTAAATGAGAAAATAGTAAGATGCCTCATAAAGAAGAGGAGAGAGATCAAGAATATCTTCATCTTCCTTGGCTTGACTACTTTAGTTATCTTTTTAGTTAGTTCTTACTGCTCTTCCTGGTAGTGTATTCTTCCCAAATAGGAAAATCTCAACTTGAATCCTTTTAAGTTCTGTATTTTTCAACAAGCATGGTTATTGCTAAGAAGACTTAAAGTTGAAATCCACACATATGTGAAGCACTCAGGTTGAATAAGCTCCAGATCCAGGGGAGAAACTGATGTAAAATATGACTTACGGTACATCATTATAAAGCTGATGTCACAGTAAGAGCAAACAGCCAATAAATATATTGCAATATATCCATAAGAACTAGATGAAAATTAACTTCTACTTTAGGGCATCACTGTCATTTGATACCATACCAAAATTTGAGACTGTCCAGATATTTTGAAATACAACTTCCACAAACCCTTCTAAAATGGTTAATAATTAGAAAATTATTCAAATGAACATACTAATACTTAAACATATATTTTCTTCATTGATGCTCTACCATTCATAACTGCCAATATTGTATTGGTTTTTGAAGGTACACATAATTAATACTACATAATGTAGCTTTAAAATTAATTTAACACTTTTGTAATTTTTAAAAATTCTGAAAATTTAATGAGAAGGAATTTGGGTGTTTTTTCCCAAGGGTATCTGAATTAAGATACAATTAATAACTGCTTGTTCTTGCCTGCTTTCAGAACGAAACTTTACACCCACATTTCCTTTTTGAAAAGTTGTTATAAAACCTTTTAGAAGGTGTCCACAGCTCTTTATGAAGGACCAGTTACAAACTTTTCCTAAGAGGAAATCAGACTTTTTTTTTTTGTTAACTTGCAAGCATGCAGTCACCTCCCAAGATTCTTGCCACACAAGATATTTTGCAAGGCATAGTGACGGTGGAGGGTGGGAAAATCAGCACCATTCAGGAGCAGATGGTGAGCGGCCACTGAGCTCCAGAGGGAGGCAAACCTGGGGGTTCAGTAGCCAGTTGCTCTGACGTGGAGAGGGGGGGGTGTATAAAACTTTCTGGATCCAGAGATCAATCGACACTGAATGGTCTTTCTGGATTATATTTCTGAAAAAAGAATTGTAATTATAACATATTTGAGGCACCCATTCCTGCTTTATATTTAGCACTTTAAACTGGACTAGTTGCAAGCTAGTAGTTTATGTGGCATAATTTTTAATATTCATAATTCTGTGAATCAAATGATAGCAGCAGGAAGAGAATGCCTTCTTTCCTCTCCTTAAGCTATACCCAACTGCCTGTATCCCTTGCTGGATGACAAACCTTTGGTGGAGAAGATTGTAGGATTTAGGAAAAGGAAACCAACAAATGGAAAATCTGCAAATTGATGAAGAGTTTGTTCGTCGGGCTACGGATGCTGTAACTGGACCTTATGTTCCCTGCAAAACAGGCATTTTCCTGTTGAGCCAGAATTAAGATATTCTTTATACCAGGAAACGACACTCAGGAAGTTGATTCAAACCAAGCACTTTCCATTAACGTCCTCTTTCTTGCATTCCCCTTCCCCCCTCCAATTCCTATCCTGCTTTTTTCGCTATGGTTTAATATGGAACCCAGAGCCCCGGAAGAATTTTCTTACCTAATGATTAGCCTTCTGGGCTTGCTTCTCCCAGCCTTTAAAGAACCGCTTTCCCCCAACTGGAACAGGACTCAAAATAATTATTTGATTTTTTTCCTGGAGTTTCTTAAATCCTTACTCAAATAACCCTTTAAAACCTTCCTTCCCCACCACCCCTTCGACTTCTAAAGCATTGACTGGATTTGATAAACGACCCTGATTTTTATTTGGGCTTTAAACCTGAAAAAAAATATTTATAACTTCTTCTCCATGACAGCAATTTGCCGTCTCTTTTTAATAGGCCAGCTTTCTAAAGGGAGTAGGGTGCAGGGTGGGGCGGGAAGGATAAATTGACACTTGGCATTAGTTTTATATTGCAAAGAGACGGGAGAGGAAAAAAGAAAATTATTCTCCATGGACCCTTCCATTCTGCCAATTACAGGGCCCTCATCCCTGATAGCAAGCCTTCCCACCGAGGACATGCTCATGAGAAGTCCCCTGGTAGCATTCACATGATGTTACTGTTCCTAATTCTTGTGCTGGACAAGGGTATCGTCAATGGCATCCACAGGTCTGGGAGCACAAGCTTCCCAAGGTTTTCACTGGCTTTAAAGAGCCACTTTGCACCTGAAGCTTTTAGTAATCCTTGGTTAGGAAATAATGAAGAAAGAAACGAGGAAACAATTTTTCCAACCAAAAGCCTGTGATTTGTAATGCAGGAAACCTAATTTGATCGGGATTTAAAGACCGGACTACACTGCAAAACCTGAAGTTAACTCTTGTTAACTGTTATTAATGAGGGAATGACACCCCCCCCCCAATTATTATACATGTTTTCTAGGCAAATATTTTCTCTCATAAAATGCATTTTTTATTTTTAAAAAAATGTAAAAGACTCTAATCCTTCCCCAGGTTTAATTTAAATTTTTCTCACTTGGTATGTCTTTCATGATTTTCTTTCCTTGAATCCTTCATTTATTTCATTGTGTACGGACATCATTAGAATAGCCTCTGTGACACCTTCTGTCTACAGTATATTATATGAAGATAAATCCCTCTGAGAGGTTGGTCTCCTTGTCCTTCACTTCCTGAAAGAAACTACAAAAATAAATGGGAGTTCTGATGCTACCTCCAATCACATATTCAATATTGGCACTCCGTTTATATAGCCTTTTGGTGGACTCCAATGCCTTTCCACTACCCAGTCCTCCCATTCTTCCCTTTTCTCAGTTCTGAGACATGAGCGTCTTTCATTTCTAGAGTTCATAAATGGGTAATTACGGACTTTCTTTTCCAAGGGAATCTCCTCCTTTGGCCCACGTGTATTGACAAAGAGGAAGAAGCTCAACCACTCTGGGATGCTGAATATAATGGAAAGCCAAGGCAGCAACATTTATTTACTTGTTAGCACATGGAAGACAAGAGTAACTTGCAGGCTGACGCCTACAGTCATTTGTTACTTGTCAGGATATTTACTGGCTGTACAGCCCAGGGGGAAAGCACCAGAGGTTGAAGTAGGCCAAAAGTTCATTTAAGAGCCAGATTCACAACTCTGAGGATTTGGCTCTGACCAACATTTATCCCGAAGGTAAATGAAAAGGTGAAGTTTCTGTCTGCTCAACGAAAACAGCTCGTTTTCCTTTGCTTCCTAAAGCAATAAGTACGTATTTCAAAACACCTATTTTATTTACTTGCCATAAAAGAAAAGAAGGGATTCTTTGCTCTTCCTCTTGTGCAAAACAGGATTAAGAAATGGTGGCTCTGAAAGTGGCCTTTGGGAGTTGTTTGCTTGTCTTTATTTAAGTGTGAAGAATGATTTGCAACAATTAAAATTCCTCCCTCCCAATAACAGACAAATCAAAGTCCAGCATCTACAAGCTTTTTATTGAATAAAAAAATAGAAGGGGATTGCAAATGATATCAGGGGATAGAGATGGAAAATGGATGGCTAGTCAGAGCAAATAAATAACTAATAGATGGATAGGGTAGATCGAATTTCAATTTCATTTGCCTTTCTCTCCCCTTTCAACAAAACACAATTGTGTTTCTAACTTTATTTCACAACTCATTAGAATGTTGATTGAATTAAATTGCTCTTAAGAACTCTGCTTCTAGACACAAAGGCGATATGCAAAGCAAAGCTATTTGGATTTTTTTTTAAGAGAAAGCAAAAGACATTTTAAGCAAACCCCATAAATGTTTAAGTATCTCTTCAGTGATTATTTTTTAATGAGGAAAAGGAACATTTTCTATCATAAAGAAGTCTTCAATACCTTTTACTCTCTTTCTCACACACACATTTCTTTCTCTGTTAGGTGAGTCCCTTATAGCAGAAATGGAGTGAAAGCTCTTTTTGTTTCAGTGAAGGAGAAAAGTTCTGATGATTTTTGTCACCGTCTTTTCTAACACACAGAATAGACTTTGAATAGTTTTAACTTTCCTCTTCTTTTCTTCCTCCCCCAACCTCTTTTCTATCACTTCCTTTTTCTACCCCTCTTCCAAAGTCTTTGAGGGAAAACCCTTTTGACGTATCCATGTTGTTAATCAGATCGATGGGGAAAAGTTTGATTGAAGTCCCTTTGTCATGCAAATGCCAAGGACTTGATGGATGATGGCAGATATCTGACAAACTTTGGGAGGCATTTGCTCATTGGGCTTGAAGGGAACCACGTGTTACCACGTGGTTTAGATCCCCTTCCACCCCACCACCACCTTCTCCCATCCCCCATTCTGAAGCTTCAGGAAGGAGGGGGGGTTTAAGTCAGGAGATCCATAGATGGGAAGGGTGGTTCTCTTCATCTCTCTCTCTCTCTCTTTCTCTCTCTCTCTCTCTCTCCCCTTTTCCCCCCTGGTTAACTTTGACATACTATCTAAAGGTTGTAGGGCAGAAGGAATCCCCATAAAACAGGGCAACCCTCTTCCATCATTGGCAAAGGAACAATACCTAGAATGAACTTCTTTTTAGACTATGCAATTTGTAACCGTGGGATGAGCGCCTACCCGCCCAAGGAGTACCAGCACCTCGACCAAGGGACCACTTCCTACCCAGCTTGCTCAGGTACCATTCCAGCCTGTGACAGCTATCAGTCAGATGGGCGCTTTGGGGTGATAGGGGTGGGTGCTAGTGGGTCCAATGCCCACCACCAACAAGGCTATCCTCCTCCTCTTCCTCACAGCCCAGCTAGCCTTGGTATCTCCTTCACCAGTCCTTCTCATCAAGGAGGAGGAGGGGGATACGCAAACTCAGGTTGCAACCTCAGCTTCACCAACCCTCAGTTCTACCATGACTCCCCAGAGACGGATGGAGCTTACTTTCAGACCTCGGCCTATCCTGCCAGCTTGGCTGCAGCTTCCTCCCATTCCTCTTCCCATCTAGTGGGAAGTATACCTGATGCTTTTTGTGCAGCCACCCCGGGCCAATTCCAACCACACCAATATGATTCTGATCAGGGGAGCTACTTGCAAGGGGCTTTGGGCAATCTTTCCCCACCTCTATCTGAGAACAAAGAGCCGAGAGCTTGCCGGGCCCATCCTTCTCCCATGGCTGCTGCTGCTGTTGCTGCTGTTGCTGCTGCCACTGCTACCACCAGCCAGACCTTCGACTGGATGAAAGTGAAAAGGAATCCTCCCAGAACAGGTAAATCTCTAACACACCTGGACACCTAGAGAGATGAGTGTATGCTCATATTGCTGCCTTGCCAGGATCCTATTAAAAAGGGAAAGGGGTGGGGGAAAAGGAAGCAAGTAGGAATGGGGCTTCTGCACTGGCTCAAGATTCCTTCATCTACCTCTCACTACAGACTCCAGAGACACCTTCTGAGTTGGCTACTGTTGAAAAGAGAATCTGCTCCTGGAAAGCAGGAGTGTCACTCCATCATTAACCTTGGTCTGAGAAGGCAAATCATAAGATGGAGGGAGGGGTGGTAGGAAGGAAGGAAAGAAGGAGGAAAGAAGGAAGCAAGGCCAGACTGAGAATAATTGAGATGGGAAAGACCTCTCTATTTGCAGAATTGCCAAATGGAAAAATAGGCCAGACTCATTTGGTGACTGTGCAATTGACAGTTTCAGAAGTAATTGGATCAAAATGTAGGAAGAGAAAAATGGAAGTATAATGATACATGTGAACTTACAAAAAAATAGGTGAAAGAGTTCCAGAAACTATGGTGCTGCGATGGGGCAGCTAGTGCCATTGTATTATTTATTTTGTAATATGATAGGTAAGGCAGAAAAAAATAATACTTCCCAATGCTGTTGAATCAATTAAAAAAAATCCAGGTAGACTAGAGCAACTGCAAGCAAATAATAGGTGCTTTGTAGAATTCTCAACATTTCTTGACAATTCTGCCTCAGGCTTATAACAGTGGAAGTCGCCCCATCCACCTCCACCCCCACCCCCCCAAAAAGCAAAAAACTGGAGGCAGAAGTTTGTCTAATCTTGATTTAGAGTTTGAGAAATGGACAGTTTTAGAACATACAGGAGCCACAACAGCTCATAGCTTTTCTTTTCTTTGATTCTGCTTCCATATTTTGATCCATGGTTATTCAAAGAGATGTGGGCACTGGGGAGATTTAGTTTGTCTTATATTTCCTAGTGAAAATTAGAGGTCTTTTTATTCACAAGAACAGAATCCTTGCCCTAGATGGGCCCAGCCCTGATGAAGGAAACCACCTTTTTACCACTGTTAACCAGGGATTAAGAACCAGAAAAAAGCATTCCCATGAAACAGATGAACATACATGCAGAAGAATGTTTATGGAAAACCAACCCAATTAAGATTTTACTGGGTGATTATTATTTGAATAGGATCCTCTAATAGGAGTTGGTTGAGATTAATTTTTATGCAATTGCCTTCATCATTTGGGTTGCTTTTTGAATCCTTCAAAAGCCATATACTAAACAGTGATTCCCCCCACCCTCAATGAATTGGGTTTATTTTAGACCTTAGTCCTGCCTAGAGTTGGTCCAGATTATTATTTTTCATCTTATCCAATTTTCATCAGCTCCAGGGAAAATAAATCGGAGCAGAACTAATGTCCCTCAATTCAGAAATTGGGATTGAAGTTAAAAAAGACCCTGGTCTGTACAGAATATGTTGAAACAGTTTGAGTGAGGTAGCCATGACATTAAAAGTGAATTCACACATAAGTCAGTGCAATTTATTTTGTATTGATATTGTAATGGCTTATGTAAACTCTGGGTTTTCAAAGACTTGTTACATGGCTTATTGCTATGTAGAAATCTAATCATAGATTAGATATTGGACCATCAACTACCAGTAAAGTGGAGTTTCTTTCCCAATATTTTTAGTATATAATAAGGCTGGTGGGAAATGTCTTTCTATAGACACAACATACTGTTGCCTCAGCATGAAACGGATGAAATCTTATCACAGCAGGATTTAGGAGAAAAACTTTTAAACAGAGGCAGAAGTTTCTTTCAAGGCTAAACATTTCAGAGTGTCTTTTCCCAGGGGGTTAAAAAGACTAGTGTTTTGGGGATGAAGGTTTTATCAGCCTGATCTGAGATTTTTTAAAACTTTGTTTTCCAATGTTTTCCTGGATCAGGTTATTTCCCTACTTATTCCAAATCAGATTGACAGAGGACTGACTGATCTAGAATACAAATAACCTTTTGTGCCTAAACCCTGCAGGAATTCTTGTATAAATATAAAGATCAGATCAGAGCACAATATGTAACATAAAGATCAGAGGAGAATCTTTCCTAAACCTAGAATTGGGAACTGAAAAATCTTAATGGGGAGTGAATGGATTGCCATGAAAGCTAAGCCCCCATTTCTGAAAGGCTCAAACTATGTCCAGAATATACAGAGACACCTTTTCAAGTTGATGCCCTCCAAGATGTGTTGTATCACAATTTCCATGCCATCTTGAAAGTACAATATAATACATCTAAAGATTACGGCCAGGAATTACTAAGGTAAAGTAAAAGGTGCCACTCAACATCTTCAAAGGGCTGGACTTTTGTGAGGCACACACCTGCTTTTATCTAGGTTTATACCAGAGATTAATTAATATCAGCTGATTGCTGGTTTATTTTGGAAATAATTCTAACCAATGGTTTGATTGTTTCCTTCTCCGTTTCTGGCTCATCCCAGCAGCGAAAGTGACTGACTATGGATTAGCCGTCCATGCCAGCACGATCCGGACCAATTTCACCACCAAACAACTGACGGAGCTGGAGAAAGAGTTTCACTTCAGCAGGTATCTCACTCGAGCCAGGCGAGTGGAGATCGCTGCTACTTTGGAGTTGAACGAGACTCAGGTAAAAATCTGGTTCCAGAATCGGAGGATGAAACAGAAGAAGAGGGAAAAGGAAGGAATGGCTGGTTCCCATCCCATTGCCGCCGCGGCTTTCCGCGACTCTACCAAGGAAAGCAGCGAGGCTGTGTCGTCTGACAGATCCAGCGGGCCCTCCACCCCCGAAACTTCTCCGAGCTCGGTGTCCTCTTGAAGGGGAAGGAGGGCTAGTTAGGTCGAGTCCTGCCCACTGAAGTAACCTCCCCTTTCAAACAGGCAGCTGCTCGGTTTGTAAAGTGAATGGATTGTCCTAAGCTTATAGGCACAAAAGACAAACCCACCCGAAAGAACCACGAACACAAGCGCATATAATATCTATGCACACGCGCCCCTCTTATGAAATAGAAACGCGTATTTTCGAATGTAGAGCTACAGGAACTTTTGCACAATTTTTTTTCTAGATACTCAAGTGTTAGTTACAATTATACAAACGGCTTCCAACAGGATTGCTCATAAAATGTAGATTTTGAAGTTCTCTCCCCTTAAGCTTGTGTTTCTACGCCTTTGTTGTCAGATTCGTGTATTACCAGTATATGTTTCTTTGTTACTTCAAGCTTCAGAGTAGCACGAATGTGAATGTAATCTCCACATCACTAGAATATCAGCAAGGCAAATCCTCATTTCCTTCCTTCCCTCCTTCCTTTTTTAAAACACGAGATGGAAGAGGGACCTAGATAAAGCTATCTCCAAACCTTTCTCTCTTCTATGTCTTGCTATGCTCTTTTTTATTTCTCATTCTCATAAGGACCGGAACGATCTATATTTTAAAGGCTAGTTTACTACATCTAACATCTCAGGGACAATTCTTTTCCTTCCTCCATCTACTCCCTGAAAGTTAAGAGATACACTTTCAGTAGTAGGAAATTTAGAGGGGAGGGAGGGAATAACATTTTTTTCATAAAGAGCCTAGAGATTTTAATTACAGAGGTAAGATTATTTTTGTCTGTCTGCTTTCCTGTTTGTTTTATATCCTTACTAGTCTTACAGTGAGTAGTTTTTTTTAAAAAATCTACTCACTATTGTAATTAAAAAAAACAACTAGTTTTTTTTAAAAAAAATAGAGATGTATAGTAAGAGAAGAGAAACAAGAGGCCTTGGAGAAATACTTTTCCTTCCACCCAACTTCAATTTTGCATTAGAAGATACCTCTGCATCTTGACTATTGCTCATCTACATTAATTTTTGGCTGAAATTGCTTTTATGTATTAGCTAGTCCATACTGGCTGTGGGAATGAAAAAGTATGTGTTGTTTTTGATTTACCTTTGAAGCCAACACCAAAGTTCTAAATTCACAACCATCATTACATGATTGTGGGACTATGCCTGAATTCCCTATTTGTTTTAGGTATCTCACCTCTTCTAAGGTGGGTTTTAAGATAAAACAAAGGAAAAGGCAAATGTTAATTTGGATTAATTTAGAAATATGCAAACCTATAAAACTCACAGATTTCTCAACCAGCCATTGAAAAACTTCCTTCAAAGGAGCCTGAGGGTATAATGCAGGAAGGAGGGGAGAAGGGGGAAGAAAACCTTAAATCTGCAGGTGTGCATGCCAGTCCTACGGACTGAATAGAGACAAGACTTACAGCATCACTGATGCTGACTCCCAATTAACCAATGAGTCATAATGCCTGGGACTTCTTGGATGTCATATCCCAACACATGTAGAGAGCACTAAATTTTTTTTACAGAAATTAACCATTTTGGAGAAGATATGCTTCAGGTCTTGGGTTTTGGAACCCAAATGTTGAAGTCTGTTTAAATCCATCAACAGCCAAATAAAATAAGACGAAACCTTCAAATTCTAAACATTCTTATTAGGGAAGTTAATTCCTTCCTTTGGACTTCATTTACTTTAGTAAAAAAAAAAAAAAGCCAAAGAATTGGATTGAAATAACTCAGTGAATCCATTTCAACCTGAAAGGAGACTCCAATAAATTCCTTTGATATGCAAATAATTTCAAGGGGGGGGGGGAATCCCAAAATATATTTTCTTCTCTCCTGATATTTAGTCCAAATCTTTGTATAATTAAGCTACTCCCATTTCCTTCAATGCTTATTCAGATGACTAGAGCCTTGCATCACTAAGCATGTCAGCTGTGAAGGAAGCCTCACTGAGTTTAACAGGATTGAAGTATTAGAGAGAGTGTATCAAGGACTGCATCCTTATTGCTAGTGTATTCATGTGTGTGGGAAGGTGGGAGTGTTCTTCCAAACTGATGGCCAAAAGGATGAAGGATATGCCCACCTTGGAGAACATATTTTGACCTGTAAAGATGCTTTACAATCTATCAGCCTGTGAAACAGCCTGCTGCACAAACAGATCAAGGGTTAGAGAGATGCATGTATAAAGCAAGGAAGGGTTTCTCCAGAGAAGCAGTAGCTATCTAGTTCATGTTCAGATGCTCACTATTGGAAGAGAATTGTTTTACTTGATGTATTAAATTGGAAAACAATTGAATTGTATTTGTTAGTCATATCTAATTTTAGTATAAATATGGCTCCAACCCTTCGAGATCTTACTTAAGACTTTATTTATGCAGGATGAATTTGGGTTGAATCTATTTATGTATACTAACAGATTATCCTCTATTTATTGTATTTACCTTATAAATCTATCCTTTTTTCCTATGAATGTGGGTGGAAATGGGTCAGAGATGTTGGATTCCTCCCCTCCCCCATCATACGAATATTAATTTTCAACACTCTTCCTCCATATTTTGCTTTCCATGCTGGTTGAAAATGCTAAAAAGCCAGTAAAGAAATAATAAATTGGGGTCTTGGAGGCTGGTTTGAAACAAATATTTAAAAACTTGAATTAGTATTATTTAGATTCTAATGCAATAATCTAGAATTTTAAGATGAAACTAGAGATGCTTCTCCCCATGCTTTATATTTGGAACCAAACCTACCTCAGAATAAATAAAGTTTACTTTTTCTCAGGACTTAGAACTAATGATTTGTTTATCTGTTCTTTTCTCACCCGCTCCACTCACTTTTGAGGGTAGTACCAATATCTCAGGAAAGGCCAGATCACAAGGCAACAAAATAGTGTTGCACTGTCCTAGGGAGTCTCCACTTATACTTGCCATGTGTGTACATCTCACTCTTTACCAAGCAGGAGCAAAGGCAATATAGTACATTTTTCATTTTTATTTTAAGGAAAAAAAAATGAACTGGACAAATGAAAATAGACCCAATATCTTAATTTCCAAGATAGCATCTTGCTTGGGACCCATAATTCCTGGCATAGCCATATCATGAATTGAGATTTGTCATATACCTCTGTGTCTTACCCAAAGTTGTCTGTCCCAGCAGTAGGGAATGTATGCCTTTCTAAATGCTTTTGGACTATATTTCCTGGCATCTCAGACTATATGCCATGTTCTCTGTGACCAATGCAAGTTAGCAACATTTGCAGATCCACAGGTTTGCCTTCCATTGTATTAACTGAAGATGCTAGGAATTAAAGTTGGATCATTTATTTACTCAGTCATTGAGCTGTGACTAAGGCAGATATTGACAGCTTATTCAGGAGCATTCACTATGGTGCTACTATTATGTGAATAAAATTTTAGGGAAGAAATCAACAACTTTACTCAAGAGGTGGCATGGTGGTGGAGGTTTCCAATTATAGAAAAGTTAATGTCACATTTTGAATATGAATTAAGAAATATACTTAAAGTATTCCTATGGTCATGTCGAAGGCTAAAATCACTGTATCTTCAGTACCAACAAAACATCAGAAAGCCAGAATAATTTCAGTGACAATATATTTAAGTGGACTGCTTAGGAGTTGTACTCCGCCAAATAGATGTATTACAAAAGTTTGCCAATTAAGACAAATGCTTATAAATGACTTGATTTAATAAATGTAAAAATAACATGCTGTAACATGAGCAATATGATCATTTAATAATATTTCCATTTGGCTACATTAAGAATTGTCATTAAGAATGACAATTTAGTAAACTTTCTGAGGGCTTGAGGGTTACACAAGCCCCGGGGTGTTAAAATTGTACACTCTGACAGAAAATGGTGTTGGTTTCTTTTGTCTTTCTCTCACTTTAAGTGGCTTCCATTTTCAGTTAAACTTCTAATGTAGATAAAGTTACTGACGAAGATGGATTTCCGCACTGTACTTTAGATCTCATCTACTCATGGTTTTGATTTGTTAACCGCTTTTTTTTTTACAAAGCCTGATAGAATCAAGTAGCTAGAAAAGGTCACGCTTGTGTCAGCTTGTCCAGATACAAAACAACTCTTCTGGGCTTCATCTAAAATTCAAAGGAAGTTGCTGGTATTTCTTTTCTTTCTTTTCTTTCTTTTCCCTTTTTTCTTTTTGCATATGTCAAGCTTTCCTCTCCTTCAGAAGCAACAGAACTGGAGGGGATCTTTTCAGTCTCAGGGTCACTGTTCCATTTTCTCCAGATAGCATCTCTTATCTTCTGTTAAATACCACTGCTTTTCTTAATCTCTGCCTTTCAGATTCAAGCCTTATTTGAGCTCTAAAGGAGCTCAGAATGATACAAATATCTTTCTGATCCATTTTATTTCATAACTTATTTGTCTGAGGTATGCTAGGCTGACAAACATGGATTGGCCCAAGGTTAATTCAGCACATTATCATTGTACCACACTATATCTTCTACCTCTGTTTTCATAAAATGTAGCTAATATAGACATAAACAGAGTTCAATAACTTCAAGAGACACACACACACAGAAACACACAAAAGCAAAACATCCTGCTGAGGAAACATTAGAAAAGAACACAGTGGTCATAGAATTTAATTCAATCTTTTATTTTGGTCCCAGAAACATAACACAGTGATCAAAGAATGCCAACTAATTGTTGAAGGAGGAATTATCTACATAATTATGAATTATGTTCATTTACCTATGAGTATTAAATCATTAACTATGCAAAAAAAATGTTGTGAATAAATCTGTACAGAATTGCACTATTAAGCTACTGAAATTATTCTAAATCCTTGAATTCTATTCATTTTAATTGTTAAACAATTCCATACATTATTTGTGAGATCTGGTTCCATTTGCCAATTATTTATTTTCTCTATTAATTTGCTTAAAATCCATTTTCATAAGCATTCTATCCAGTTATCTTTGTTTTTTCTTTGCCCTTTTGTCCATC